GCTGTGACAGGACACTTGATTTCCTTCTTGTTTTCAGGGGCCCCCCGGACCTCCTGGCCCCCCCGGCCCCCCAGGTCCCCAGGGGTTCATTGGGATCCCCGGCCCTCAGGTAAGAGCCTTGCCAGCTGCCGTTTCACCCCTTGCCTCCCGGAGAGCCCTGGACACCGAGGGCTGCACTGTCTCTCTGTCTCTTCGCCTGGTCTGCATGGGCTTCTGTGCAAACTCACTGTCGCCTTCACGAGGAAAATAGCGCCAACAGCACTAAACCTCCGGTTTTAAAAATACTTCAGTATTATAAATTAAAAGTATTCTATTAAGTATTATATAACAAAACCTTAAATGTAGCTGTAAAAGAATTATCATATGTAGTATCTTTAAATACAGGAGAATTCATGAGTAAATATAACAACTTACAGTAGGTCATAGTTTAGTACTACTTTAAAAGCAGGTTTAACAAATTAGAAAAGTAGAGTAATTAGCATTGCTTAAAATCCCACTAACACCCCAGACCTACAGTAGTGCTCCTGCAGATAGCTCCTGGGAGTGGAGGATATCCAAGCCATTTAGAGGGGGAACTTATTGTGGTGTAAGGACTGACTGAGGCAAGGCAGTGTGCTTGGAAAAACAAGCCCACATTGTTCGACGGAGGCTCAGAGCAGGCCGGGCTGAGCCGGGCCCAGCTGGGCTGGTCTGACGGTGCCGCTCTGGCGGGTGATTTGCCTCACCTCCCCTCGCGTCCGGGCCTTGCTGGACCGGAGCAGGACTGTCTGCTCTGCAGTGCCTTGTCCCCACTCAGCCTTCCCAGCAGTGAGTTCTCAAAACAGAAGCACAAAAACAGCACCTAAATTTGTTTTTCAAAAAAAGGAAGCAGCGCCCTGATACCGGACGCTTCCGTTCTGCTGGAAATAAAGAAGTCGAACGCTGGCCCGCTGAGCTCCGGTACTAAACTCCCACCCCAAAGAGCATGTAAAAGAGCAAATAAAAGAGCAACTACAGGCCCTGAGGCAGCAGAACACCAAACATTACATTCTGATCTCAATGCTTCCCAAAAACAAAAAGTTTGGAAAATCTCAGAGGAGACGATATCCTGGACTTCCATGCGGTGGGGGAGGGCCTCTCTCTCTCGGCCGGCTGGCTTTAAAGAACAGGCAGAGCTCACTGCAGCGGTCAGGGCCTCTGTCCTGGACACGAGGCGGCTCTGCGGCTCTGCGGCTCTGCCAGCCGGGATCTTGGTGTTGTGTCAGTGTGCTTGCGCTTGCTCATGTCCTGAAGTCCACACAACCCACTGCAACAGCATCTCCGCCAGCAGCGCAGTCTATTTATAAAACCATTTAATGACTGCAAGCACGGCAATAGAAAATAGAAACTGCAAAAGGAGAGCAGTGTTCTGCAGGGTCTCACTAATCGTTATTTTATATAGTGCCTTTCATGATGCATCATCTGAAGGCGCTTGACAACAACAGGGTCAGTTGTTGTCAGTTGTATGCGGTGAGCACTGCTTTTTCTTTAACCTGGTATTGTGTGGAAACCCTTGTTGATTTGAAAAAAGTTTAAAAAAGGTATAAAAACTCTCCAAGTCGGCAATCACACACGGATACCAGGACAAGGGCCGCTAGCAGGGCTTTCGGCTGCAGCTGATCTCCTGCTGATAGCGGGATTTCAAAGGGAGCTGGAGGAAAATCAACTCGAGGCACGACACTGACGCTGGACTGTAGCAGCAGACTAAACCCATTGAACCTCAGTTCCTTCTTTCAGGGTATCCCTGGAAACGATGGCTTACCGGGGAAACCGGGGCTTCCCGGGGAAGTAGTAAGTAACCAGACAGTGGGCGGAGCCCGTGGGCGGTAGCTGAGGTGGCGAAGGGGGCGGCCAGGCGCCGGGCCGGGCGCCGGGTCTGCTCAGAGTGGCGCTCTGCGGCCGTGGCCTGCCTGCGTGTTAGACACCAGCACTGCAGTTCCAGCCCCAGCGTGCATCAAGTCTCCCTTTACAGAAACAAGGGGACTGTTGTTCCGCTTGTTACAACTTGGACTAAGACGCAACAGAATAGAAGCTGGTAAATCTAGACTGCAGTGAGGCTTCAGCTCCTTCATGAGCACAGTGGAACAGTGTGCAGAGGGCTCTTTATGACGTTTGAACTGAACGCACTTGCTGCAGATGCATTTCAGTAACCGGCCCTGGTGTGCTCATATGAAATGTTAAATTGTGACGTGTGTTTCATGCTTCTTGGTTTATTCTGTTGTGTTTATGAAGGAGTTGTGACTTCTTTTTGCCTCAAGAACAGAGATACCAGCAACATGAATTCTATTTCTTATAAGACGATCACAAAAAATGTCCTGTATAACAATTTATCCATTTTTAATTTTAGCTTAAATTTCGCTTTCCAGTTTGGGCTTTGCCCGCACGGGAAGTACAGACAGAGCTCAGACACCCGTCCTGCAGGCGTCTGAAGGCAGATCTGCGTCATGCAGAGACCTGCAGCGCCAGGGGCTGGCTGCCATGACTCAGGGCCAGACCGACCCCAGTGTGCCACTCTGATGGACACCGCCACAGCCCACCAGCCCCCAGGCAGCACAAAAAAGCACCTGAACAGTTATATGTCAATGGTTTAAAACTGAAAACCTGACCGCATGTCTTATCCGTTAAAAAATAAAACAAATAAAATAAAACTAATTTCTAGAATTAGGAATCTCCTCACAACAAATTTGAAAATTACTGTAACCTGAAGCAGCAATTTCTGTAGTTGAGAAAGAGTAAATAGAAATAAGGTAAAATAATGGTAAAAAGAAGATAAATAGAATTTAAGACAAAATGATGGCTCTTCATTGACATATAATTGCAATGAGACCATTCACTTGGAGAGCGACTTGGGTTACTGCCTCTCAGATGGCTTTTCTTCTTGCTGTGAGGCTGGCAGTGATCACATGCACATGGGTGCCAAAACAGGACAACAGGATGCGTGTCATCTGAACCTGAAAGAAAATATCAAATATCTTTTAAATATCAGCACTTTAGGGGGACAAAGCTACATTTTCATCACAGCCTTGCGAAGGAATTTGACCTTTGCCAATGAGAAAGCACCATGTCACTGCCCTTCAGTGAGTTAGATCAAAAGCTGGCCGTTTGTACCCTGTCATCTCAGCTGGAAGGCTGGGTCACATGACAGGGCCCAGTCACAGTCTGTCACCTCCGCTGAAGAACTGGGTCACATGACACGGCCCAATCACAGCCTATCAGTTTTGCTGAAGAGCTGGGTCATGTGACATGGTCCAATCGAAGCATGTCATGTCTGCTGAAGAGCTGGGTCATGTGACAGGACCTCAGAAAAAGACAGTGACACAGCAGAATCTGAACTCACTTCACCAATCCTCTGCTTACCTGCTTAGATCAGTGGAGAACAAATTCTCATTTACAGTGGTGGCCTGGAGAGTACCCGATTACCGATTATACAATGCAGTAGCTCATACTGTATGTATTTTGTCTCATTTTCGGCAGGTGCCCTAACACAGAAGTTATTTGTGCAGTAGCTCTTGATGGAGGCAATTTTAATCAATTACTTTTTCCAACATTAACAGTAAATTTGACAGCCAATCTGTAATCCATGTCTTCTATTTGTGAATGGTCTGATTGCTTAAATGTTGTGAAAAATTGCTAGCATTGCTGAGTCACAGTTCTGCAAGGTTTGAGCTCAACATAAGCACCAACCTGAAAGTAATATATAACAGAATTTAGTGAATAGCTATTTCCCTTCAAGCCAGAATCTCCCATTTAAAAATCAGTGAATGAATCTGAATTTTGCACTTAAACGGCTTTTTATTCTGTTTTCCTTTTCCCTCCCTTTTTATTTTTTCGATTTTTTTAACAGACATTGAAAAACTAATCTCTCTGCTCCTTCTCTGCATGTGTCAGAAAGAGGGTGGCAGGGCGCCCTGAAGCCCGTGGATGAAAGATCACTGCTCGGCTCTTTAGGGCCCTCAAAGGCTTGGGGGGGGCGGGGGGTTTGAGGGATTAGGGGTCATTTTCTCACAATGATCTCTTTCCCAAACTCCCCCACGCAGTGTAGCCTGCCTCAGGCAGTGAGAATCCAGTCTGTTAACGGCCAGGCTCCTTAGAAGTAGATTACCTGCTTTTGTGCATTATTGTATTCCTCTTGCCCAATGTCTAAGCAGTCATTAGTATTGCATGCTAACTAATGTATCGGACCCACCCAAGCTGGAACTTTCAACATATCCCCTGTACCTGCTTGGCCACTGGTCCTCTGACACGCCCACCTGCAGGGTCGTTTGTCATGTGACCCGCCGTGACTCCTCCACAGCGCCTGACGGGAGCATCACTGATCCTTCACTGATGTCACTACAGGCTCCCAGCAGGCCGTAAGAGCCACTGTTTTACTAGAGTGCCAGGGGAACTCATTCCGAATCGTGCCGCCATTGAACCAGTTACCCACCACCTTCAGAGCAAGTAACCTGGCCCTTCCTGAAGGAGGAGGGACACCAATGGGTTACAGTGACAAGGCTTTTCCAAGCCAAACTGAAGTGTGAATGAAAGTGTGTCTCCGACCCTTCTGCCTCTCTCGGCCTCAGAGGGGGCCTGGTCGTGCTCGATCACTCGACACTCTTGTCACATTCTCTTCTCTTCCCCACAGCCACCCCTGGCGCTGATCGGAGAAACGAAAATCGAGGTACTGAAGGTGAGGAGCTCACAACAAGATCACCAGCTCGATCAGGTCCTTCTGCCTCACTGTGTGTGCCAAGGCCTTCCCCCTGGCTCCTTAAACCAGCTGCTCCCTTCTGATCTCTCCCCTTTAAAAGTGTTATGTGCATGGCACGGTGTTTTTGCGCGGGACGCGCAGCACTATTCTCATCATGTCCGGGTCTAGCCCCGGCAGCGCTTTCTGCAGCTCGTGTTCCTTGTGAGTGACGCGGCCTCTCTCTCTCTCCCAGCAGGGCCTCTGCAGAGACTGCTCCCAGGGCCTGCCCGGCGTGCCTGGCGTGATCGGGATGAAGGGAGAGAAGGGGGAGCAGGGGGAGCAGGGCCAGCCGGGAGCGGGATCGAGCGACGGTTGTGAGAAGGTGATGGTGCCTCTCTCTCTCTCTCTCTCGGTGTTGACTGGGGGTTTGCGGGGCAGGGAGTGACAGACAAACAGAGGAATGCTGCGCCAGGGCTGAGTTTTGTTTCTGGTTTTGCTTTGCAGTGCTTTGAGAGGCTCCAGAAAGAAGAAGCCCGGGTAGGTGCAGCTCTTCTGCCACTGCGATTTCCGGCAGCCCTGTGCAGCTCCCACGTAGTTCCATCAGTTTTTAGTCGCCACTGCGATCAAGAGGAATACTTGTCCTGTTGATTTTGCCCCGCGCTGCAGAAACACTCTGCTGTGTGAGCGCACAGTGCGGAGGAGAAGGATCGAAATGTTGGTCCGGACAGGATGCTAGGAGCCCAAGCATATGAAAATGCACAGGCATCATCTAGCAGCAGGACCTGGACAGAAACATGTGTTTCAGCCTCTCAGGTTAGGGTTGAGGGTGCCTTGAATATATTACCCAGCCGTGTTGTTGAAGCCAGTATTCGATACCCTGTTTTTTTCCCAAGAAACAGCAGGATGAAATCCTACCATCTATCAGAGGGGCTAGATGAGCCAAATGGCCTCTTCACCTTCTCTGGGAAATAGAATCTGGGATCGAATGAAACTCTGGGACTTGCGCTGCACCAGGAGTTACTGTGCAAGTGAAGGCTGTGATTGGCTGGTTGATTTTTGGAGTCTCGGGGTGTCAATTGCCAACCAGAGCCCACGACCGCCTCTCCATCCTCGTGACGGGGCTCAGCTGATTCCCCCTCTCTCTGTTTCAGGGTGACAACGGCAATGGGGGTCCAGGGTGCCCCGGGGTGCCAGGTACCCCAGGGATCCCCGGACAGCGAGGGGAGAAGGGAGAGCAGGTGAGGTGGGCAGGTGGGTGGGGGGCTGTCCAGCACGTTGTGATTTTGATCCCGGCTTGACGGATCAAAGGCAACGGGTGATGAAATACTGTGCTAGCAGAGGCGGAAAGTGTTGTACCCGGTGGATAATGGCCACCAGGAACGGTGTGAGATCCTGCCTCTCCGGGGGCGCCAGCATGACCCAAATACTTTCTCCCACTGTGCAGGGTGAAGAAGGATCACATGGTTCACAGGGCCCCAGGGGGTTCCCAGGTCCTCCAGGACCCATGGTAAGTACCTTGGAGTACAGGAGTCAAAAGAAGCACTAAACCCCTCTAATAAGGAAGTGGAGCTTTGGAAGCACTAAGCAGACTGCGAAGCCCAATCTGTCCTTTAAGACAAGCAGAGCTGCTGTGCTTTGTTTGATCCACAGGGGGCACTCTTCGGTCGATCACTTGATTGGCACTCAGATTCTTCCCATGTGTCCGACAAAGACTTGGGAAAGAGCTTGTCTTCATCAGGGTTCCTTATATTTTCTTGGGCGTTGTTATTCCCTCCGTTTTATCTAGACTTGTAGATAACGTCTGTTACTTTAAAAAAATTATCCAACGTGTATAAGAGGTTACACATGGATGGAGGCCAGTTCCAGGAGCTGGATGGAGTACCTTAATGAGATGGAATGTAATTTAGTTGATCACTGCCTCTGGCGAATGGAGATTATCTGTCTTTTGGTTATATAGTTGTTACTGTTGTTTTATTGTCACGTGCTCACGTCAATCTGTCACATGCTCGATGTATTAAATGTTTTTTTGCGTTTCTTAACGTAATCATGTAATTCAAATTTAAAATGGAAAAAAAACTCCAAATAAGATACAATAGACAGAAAGCCAGCACTTGCACTTCACAGCTTAATTCTGTAAAATCTGAGGCAAGGTCCAATTTAATGATGTCTGCACTTTGGAATATGGTGTGCCGGTAACTAGTTAGGGAACAAGTGCAAGTTGAAGCTAGGATGTCCTCTGTGTGAGAATAGCCCTCTAGGCCCCGCCCACCCTGTCTACAGGCCCCATCCCCTGGGTCCAGTGTGCAGACGGGGCTGTCCCTCTCACTGCCTGTTTCTCCCTCCAGGGTCCTCCAGGTTTCCCTGGTTCTCCAGGTCCCTCCGGATTACCTGTAAGCAGCCTCCGCTCTCCTGCCCTTTTGCTTGGCATCCCTCACTCTCCATCCACACCCACACCCCCTCTGTCTCTCTCTCTCCATGTCTCAGTTTTATCGTCCAGTCTGGTCTGTGTTTCCTGCTGAGGCTCACATGGCCCAAAGGAGAGCCTTGTGAGCATGCAGGAGATACTCTGGCTCGCTAAGAACAAGCTAAACAGAGGAGTCGAAATTGGACAGCATTGGACAGGAGGGCAAAGCTGTGAATCCTGAGACTAATCCAAGACTAATCTCTGATGGCTTGGTGCACAGATGTGCGAGTCTGGGCCCTGTAGTTCTTTGTAGGTCTGGATTGGAGTGTGTCCCCAAACTTGCATAAAGAATTTGGCATTGACTGTAGCAGACTTTATTATTCAAACACAGGTCAGCTGGTCTGAGCAAGTGTGATCTGAGCATACTTATCAGCTACAGAGCACAGACTAGCCAAGGCCAGGACCGGTCAAAGCAAACCTTCAAATAAACCTCAAACCACTTAAAGAAATACTAAGTGAGCTTTTAAAAGAACAGGAAAATGCAAAGTAACTGTAGCATTTATGATTTTTCTTTCCCCCAAAATGGAAATTATTAATTAATTTAAATTTCATTTTTACATATTAGAAATAGAAATAAGAAAACTAATTCCAGAGCTTTTTTGGTCTAGGCAAAAAAAAACATTAAAAACTTTATTATATATTTCAGAGTATTTCATAATAAGATCAGAGCTGTGTTGTACAGACTGGGTTTACCTTCTACAGACACAACTTTGCTGATTTTATTTTGTATTTCTTCTACAAAGTTTTAGATATCTGTTTAGATCTCTGGGAAAAATAGCCCATGGAATCCCAATGCTTGGCCTGTTCACAGACACTGCTGTAAAACTCTAAACACCTAACTGCCCTGTCGAAGCCTCTGTTTTCCTCCTGAGTGTCCCATCGAGCCGAGTCCCCTCTCCACGTGATCAATCCCACACAGTGGCCGTCACAGTGCCCTTGCTCACCTGTCCAATCGAGCCGCGTCCTGCTGGCCTGTATCCCCCCTGCTCCTTCACTGGAGCCACGCAGCGCTGACTGTCCCAGGCTCCTGCCTGCCCAGAACTTCGGAGCTGCCGTGAGCTGGTGACCGAGTGCTGGGAGTAAAAGACTTGTGGTTTTGCCTCTTGCTGTAGGATGTCCTGAGTGCCTGAGTTGTTTTTAAAACAGTAAAGTTTGATTTTAATTCAGCAAAAAAATTCTAATTATTCATACATTGCACGAATTGTGGTACAATTTAATGTAGGACAATATTTTTCTATAAAGCAGATAACTTGTTTTTGTTATCTTTTATTTAGCAAGCTGTTAATTTACTAAACACCTTCTTCAGTCATATTATGCAATTTTGTCTTTTGAGAGGCCTAGCTAGACATTTTTATTTCTTTGAAACATAAAATTAGATTAGTACATTGTAAGCTCAGTAATTTAGTATGTTATCATAATATAAGAGTTCAGAACAATTATACTTCTGCCAGAATTTTGGAGTTTTAAACCAGAACTGTATAAACCAGAACATATGAGAACTATTTAGTAAATTTGCAGTTACTGAGTTTTCATTTGTATTTTGCTAGAGGTGGATCTGAGAAAATCACTAGTAATTTCCTTTGACTAGTCGTTTAAGACTAAAGGTTCTGTAACTGTCCTGCACAATTAGGTTATGGCAGCTCCCAAAAAGTAAAACTCCTGTCTTCTGTCATCCATGTAGAGCCAATAACTATGAGCTTGTATGATGGACGCTTAATTTTAGAACCGAGTGTTAACAGGGAAACTGGTTCCTAAAGCAGATTAAGGTCAAGTCTCAGTGTAAATGCAAATTCTTTTCTCGGCTGTTTTCATGTGATCACAATTAGTATTACAGAATATGATTGTATTAGTGTCTCTAGAGTTATTGTCTGTAGGGGTAGATTCTTTGTCTTCCACTTGAAGATTCAGTTATAAACCGTCAATAGTGATTTCTCCTGTTTTATGTCCAGTGCTTAATTGCCCTTTTCACCAGTTGAAATGCTATAACTGTACATTTGGACTACCAGGTTTCTAAATCGTTCTGTTATACAGTCTGCAGAAGCCAAAAACCAAGGCAAAAAGTCAATGATTGCTTTGTTTCCTTTTAACTTTATTCATTTTGGGGGTTTTTTATGCACTGAAAAAAAGTCTTTAGTTGTACTTTCCAATATGTGACAGAATTTTTTGCTCCCCTGCCTTTCCAGGAATTTCTTGGTCAGAGTAGAAATGTTACATCTGTCAGACTTGCTGCAGTACTAGCTGTGGGATTAACTGTGCTTGATGATTGTATGGAAAGAGCTGTTTGTCAAGCTGAGTATGTGCTGTGTACATGAAGATTTCAGAGACAGTTTGGGAGCTGCAGTGTGAACACAACAAAGAGACAGATGGGGGGAGTTTTTAGGGTCAGAGAGATGTGATGAGACTGCTGTCTCACAAAACATAGGGCAGTACAATTGACTTTTTCTGGGTCCTTTAGGTATGGAATGCCTAAGTGCATTTTGCATTGAGAAAACACACAATTCTTCTGCATAGTGAATGCACAGAGTATGAAAAGTTCCTCTGTACTTGTGTGCATTTGGAAACATGTTCAGGACGCAGAACAGCTAAAATCCTTCCAACTGCAACTGAGTTCTAGTGAAACGTTTCTCTTTCGAAGGGCCAGCAGGGAGAGCGTGGACTTCCTGGCCCTGCAGGAATGAAGGGAGAACAGGTGAGTCCATCGGTATTGACCTGACTCCTGCCAGGAACACCAGCAGCGATTGTGTGCCATCTTCCCCATGAGATTGCCCTGAAAGAAGACACTATAGCCGTCTTATTTTAGGTTTTTATACAAATAGTCAGTCCATGTCAATACTTGATTCCAAACTTATGTCTGCATCTCACCAAAAAGCAATAATCCTCAGTCGTGCATGTTGCCCATTCGAGTTTTTGGTGCTCATGTCTGTTCCATGGCGCAGAGCTCCATATGTGGTGAGACCTGCTCTTTATTCCTGTTGTCCACAGTGCCACTGAAACAGGGTTGTGTTTTCTAGGGTCCCCCAGGGTCACCTGGATACCCAGGATCAATGGGACCTCCTGGCTTGCATGTAAGCATTGCAGGAGTCATTCCTTTTCTGTCTGCTTTCCTTTTGACCATGTGCTCTGAGTCCATCTGCTCCGGACACACAACCTGAAGGGACATTTACCAGATAAGCCTCTTGAAACACACAAAGTCAATCACAGTGATTGAAATGAAGAACCTGGATTTCATTCTAAATTTAGGGAAACCGACATCTGTTGTTTGTGACCCTTCATGGTAAGACTACAGGGTGACCAGAGCTGTACTCAGGTTATAAAACCTTCATGGCATACACTTGGTGTGTGTCTTCTTACATGTTCTCCAGAAAATTAAAACTCATTTGAAACTGAACTGCTCTGTAACTTCTTGCATCCTCTACATAAATATAGTTGGCACTGGTTTTACTGCAGTGCATTGCTGCGTACTAGACAAAAAAGAGTTATGTATTTAGCCTGTAAGCCAGTAAAATTACCTTTCCTATAATCAGTAAGAGTGACGGTACTTGTTATGGTTTCTGTCAGGCTAATATTTTTCACTTGTCCCTTCCTGGATCAATGGGCTTGGATGTGCATGTGCTTGTCTGTCAGGGCTGCCCAGTGACGTTTCTCACCGTCACTTCTCTGTTTACCCCTCTGCAGGGCCTGAAGGGAGAGAGGGGGAACCCAGGGACAGTGGGACAGAAAGGGGAATCGGTAAGGATGTGACTTGTTGGCATGGAGAAACTGTGTTATTCTTAATCGTTAGCTACAATTGGAAAGCAGCATGCAGGACAGGGAGCCTGAATTCAGACCGGGTGTTTGATGCACCTGGAATGGGAGCAATTCCAGAATCCAAAAAACCTGACTTCAATCCATTGGTGCTGTTTCAGGGCCCTCCAGGCTCTCCGGGCTACCAGGGACCTGCCGGATCGCCGGTGAGTGAAATGCAGCAACCCCGTCGCTTCCTAGACACAGTTACTCATTTTCTGCGGATGAGTTTGGAACCAATTATAAAGCAGGAGAGTTACAGTGCACCAGGAGTGGCTACATCCCAGCAGGTCTTTCTATTTAATCATCAGCTTTAAAGACTGAAATGACTGCCCCTGGCCCTACTCTGCTATAGGGTGTCAGGGTTTTCATTTTGACACATCTCCAAAATCCTTAATTGAACAAATCACCTGCTTCAGTGGTCAAAATGAAATTGCTCAGAGTATTACTACAGTAAGTAGAGCATCAAAGGGTTACTCCTAATGCCTACTTGACTGGCTCTTCATCGCCCCTGTTGTACACATTCCACAATGAAATGTGAACGAATTCTTAAACAATTAAAACTAGAAGTAGAGAATGAAATTATACCAAGGGGATTTGGGCCGTATTGATAACAGCAGGTTATGTTCTAGGGCCTTGCCATGTGTAGTTGGGATCTAAACCCCAGAGAAGTCTGGGATTTAACGGCCTGTTTCTTATCTCTGCTCAGGGCCCGAAGGGTGACCATGGCGTCTCTGGGAATCCAGGACTCAAAGGGGATCAGGTAAGGGGCAGTCTCTCTCACTGCAGCTGAAACACCTTGACGTTTCTCCACACAGCAGAGCTGGATGCAAATTCATCACCGAATGCGCCAACTGTTTCCGAGTTCCTCACGTCCTGTCTTCTTTGCTTTCTAGGGTTTCCAGGGGCCACCGGGGTTTCCAGGACAACCGGTAAGGCAGAAACCGGTTCTGCAGAGCTGGCATTCGCGGCAGGGAGGGTTCTCGTGCCCTGCCGGGCGAGAACAGTGACGCGGGACGGCGGCTCTTTACACTGCCTGAATCAGCACGAGCATTTCTCGCGCATTTGTGCCAGAAGCAGTGAGGACGGTGGTGGCACTAGAATGACCCGATCCAGATGAGGGAGGCAGGCAGTGGAGACTGTGATGCCTCCTGGGCGTAGGCTTGCATGCGGCTGGTGGTGTGCTCTTGACGGGGGTCGTCCTGACTGTGTTTTTGTTTCTGCAGGGCCCCCCCGGATTCCCTGGCAAGGCTGGTCCTGCTGGTCCTCAGGGGCCCCCGGCAGAGAAGGTGGGTGTATCCACTGGGTGGATCTTACTGTCTTATTCCTGCTTTCGAAGCATTTCAGGAATCGCTGACTCGTTCATGCTGGCTGACTTGCAGTTTATGACTCCATGTACTCCTCCTTGAAACTGAGTAGTTTTGTTGACACTTAAACACACACAGCTGCAACTCCTGAAACAAAGATTGTCCCATAGATGCACGAGTGTTACCCATTTCTCTTGCTGGCTGAAAGTGACATCCGGCCCTAAAAATCATGACTGACCAGCATCGTCTCTTCTTCCCCGTAAAGGGCAGCGAGGGGCCACGGGGGGCCCAGGGCCCCATGGGGCCCCCTGGCTCACCTGGGACACCTGGAATGCAGGTAAGGGAGGTTGTGAGGTTGTGATCTCTGTGCCGTGTGGCAGTGCATCAGGAAGTGCACTAAGACGGTCTGTGCTCTTACTTCTTACCTTCTGGGAGTAACTGTGAAATTCTGAAAGATGCAACTTGAAGACAGGAGTAGGTATGGACAGCAGATCTTCACTTTGTTTTGTGCTGCAAGCGCTGGTTTGCGGGAAGGTTGGAGGAAAGGTGGAGACAGTTCATTTAAAGTTTTAAAAAGCAACTGGAGTCAGTGACCTTTCACCGATGGCAGCGTGACTTAGGCACAGCAAGGGGGATGAAAAAAAAACAAAGCGCTGGTGTGAGAAGCTGTGGCCACTGCGTAGCACTTACTCTCCCCTGTCTCCTCCGTCTGTCCAGGGGCCTCCAGGGATTGAGGGCATGGATGGAAAGGATGGCAAACCAGGGCCCAGGGTAAGAGCAGGTCCTTCCACCACACTCACCCAAGAGGGTGCAAGAGTGCAGCTGCTCTGTCCCGTCCATCAGAGCATGCAGAGCTATAGGATGCAGCCCTGGAAGGTCTTCTGAGATCTTTCACTGTGTGACCAGTTTGACTGCTCCTGTGTTGCATGACTGCAGAATCTCCACAGCCCATCCATGGAGCGCCGGCATGATCACCGAGTGACATCATCATCCTGCTTCTAACATACAGACTTTACTGTTTCATTCAGGTTTCTATCTTCCCATTAGGAAAAAGGTGTTAGCCCCATCAGCTGATAGTAATAGTGAAGATCATGATACGAGGCTGCAATCTCGTGAGGTTAATCCATGCATCACTCTGCATGCATGTCTTGCTCTAGTGATTCTGATGCCTGCAGATTTTTATGTTGACTCTCGATGTGCTCTCTCTCCTCTCCAGGGTGAACCTGGTCCAGTCGGTCCTATTGGTCCCAGAGGTCTCCCAGTACGTATTCTGGCAGCCATTTTATCTTTATTTCCCAGAATATCTCCAGTCCAGAATCCCAGTTAAAGAAATAATCATTAATACAACTGAACATTCACGTGAACTGTTAGTGTTTAACAAGAAATGACTCTCCCATTATAATTCTGCCTTAAAAGCAATGATGGTGTAATGATGATGTTGTCTGTATTCAGACATATCAACAGCTTTGGAAACATGTGTTCGGCTAATTTTTGCACAATTTTAATTGTGTTCCAGGGATTCAAAGGAAAAACCGGACATACTGGCTTTCCGGGACAGAAAGTAAGTTACTTCTTAATATCAGTGACTGTTACTATAAGAATATATCCCTTGAAGATTGGGAGTGGAGGTTGATGGCCTAGAATAGCTACTTTAAATAAGCAGTGCTGAAGAAACTCGAGGAGCGGTGCTATATCTCCTTGTAATCCTTTCTAGTCCTTCAATTTAGGGTTTATGGAGAATCTCCTTGTTCTGGTGACACTATTACCACCTTTCTCTGCAGCAGCATCCAGAGATTTGTCTTTCCAAACTAAGGTCCAGCTCATCCCAGTCCTCACTGAAGTTATATTCCTGAAGCTACAACTTGAGATTTTCAATGTAGTACTGTACATTCTAATGTGTTCAGTCACGATAGCATGATCTAAGCAGTATCTTAAATAAGGTCATGAAAAGGGCAGGAACATGGGCCTGACTGGACACCCAGCTGTGTAGTGTTAATGTTGTGTGGGATGAGGCTGACCCCTGACTCTTGCTCTTTCCCAGGGAGACATGGGACCCCAAGGTTCACCTGGAGCACCAGGACGGCCTGGCATGGAGGTGAGCTACACTTAATAAATGCCCATCGCTACAATTCTAAATGAGGGTGGGATGCCCTGCCTAACACTCCCACTTAATCTGTGTTACCTCAGTATTACAGAACATGGGTCCCACCAGGTAGCTGGGAGCTCGGAATCTAATACATGTTATTGAACTATTGGATTCTTCCCCATCTGTCCACTGTTGTCCTCTCCCTCCCATCTGTTCTGCCATCTGGGTTCTCTGAGTCTGTGGGAGGACCACGGCATTTCTTCTTCTTTTTTTCCAAGCTGATAAAGTTCAGATCTTCCTCCCTCAGACACTCGCATCTCCTCCAGTATCAGTGCCCATCCCAGCCAACTCCTACTGAGCTCACTCCCTTCGTTTCAAGCTAAACCTCTCAACTTCTGACCACCCGTTTTCCTCCTCCCTCTCTGTGGACCTCCCCATCTCAGGGAATGAGCTGCACACAGATATCAGAGCCGCTCAGCCGCTCAGGACTCGTGTGTCTGGACAGCAGCTGTGTTCTCTCAGCTCTCAGCTCCACTCTTCAGTGTCTGACACTGTTGTCCCACTGTTTTTAATTCTCAGACCGGTAATGCAACTTGCTAACTGCACTTATCCACTGTACCAGGGTAAACATCTTTATGATGTATTTACATCACTGCTCTGCGTGTCCCATTTTTAAATTCCTGGTTTTATTTTGTTTGTGCTGACCTAGTTCAGTTTATGCCTTACCCTCTTTGTTATTTAGTTTTACTTTATCGGTCCTGCACAGTTTTTCCTTGTACTTACTGTACATTTTCTAATGGATAAAGGCATCTGTTAAGCAAATGAATAATATGTGCAATCTGATCCACTGTAGCTTCCTTTTGACTTTGATTCTGCTAACAGAGCTGTTGTTGCAGGGTGATCCAGGGACCCCGGGACTACAGGGGCCAGCAGGACCCCCAGGGCATTTAGTGAGTATCTGACTGTAATCTGTGATTGGGAAAAAGAGCTTCATAGCCTTAAAGCTTTAGTGTTGTTTCTTTTTTCCCTTTTACAAAACACAGAATACTGTACCTCATACGAATTTAGCTGGAATATTTTTTTTAATCATAGTTAGGAAATATGTCTTTTTGAACCCATACACAAGTAGACATTTGGTGTGAATAGTGGGATACCTGGGTTGATATGCTCTGCGGAGTGCGTTAGTTTATCAGATCTAAAACACTTTCAACCTGCTCTGGCCTGTCCTGATATTGTCCCGACACTGTAATGATCAACATTTATTAATGAAAAAACATATATGGGTCTGTGACTCAAACATTGTAGCAGGTTGTCAGCAGCGACACAAATGAATAAAATTGTTTAAAAATCAAAGCGTCCCAAAAGGCTTGATGATTTTTTAAATGTCAAACCTGTTTGGTTTTGCTTTAGGGGGCAGCAGGGCCTATGGGACCCCCAGGACCAGCAGGGCCGCCTGGACTGGTAAGTTACTTTTCCCTTTCTGGTATTCACCCCGGTAACGCACCATGTTTTGTTGACATGTCTCCATGTCTTTATTTATCAATGCAATCCTCACTGCAGTTTTAATCAATTAATATAACTAAATCAATATAATTAATTAAATAAATATTAAATCAACATGCTGTTACCACACTCCTTACTAAGAATAAAACATTTTTGATGCTGGATGGAGCTACTAAAGCGTTCCAGCTCATGGTTGTATTTGTTTTGTAATCAGTGTCGTAAGTTAAAAATGTAAAGGAAGGTACAAACCACTTGCCACTCGTTTCACCAAACCTTCTTGCCACAACCGCCAGCTGGAGCTCAGTACACGTGTAGGCTCAACATGTGCTTTGTGCCTCCCCTCAGGGTGTGAAGGGGGAGAGAGGTCAGGCTGGAGAAAGAGGTCTTCCAGGGATGGTTGGTCCTCCTGGGCCTCCTGGTCACCCAGGCCAGTCTGTGAGTATCTGGTATAGATCAGTGAACGCAGTTAGTCACTGTACGACACAGTTACAGTAACTCCTATCGTTCTGCAGGCTCAGGAGACACCTTTACAGATTCAGTAGAGTAACGTGGATACAGTTCTAAGATGCTCCTAGATGCTCCTCGAGAATCAAAACCAAATAATTCACATCTTATAGTAAAGTGAAATTTTCATGTCCACCATGTTGTTGATTGTATGTTTGAATCAGAAGACAGGGAACGTCTTGTAATGCTTCCTGTTGCTTTCTTGGGCAGGGAGAGCCGGGCAGTGATGGCACTCCGGGGAAGGATGTGAGTAAAACCTGGACATTTCCAGTGCATGGAGCATCGATCATGACGCCTTAGACTGCGCCTCTGTGCTTGTATCACACGCTCACACATACAGAAGGGGTGCACTCTCTCCTGCTCCCAGAGAGCCACAACTTCCAGGACAGGAAGACCAAGGAGCTGGAGTCAAGCTAGTGTTGGTGGGATGAGAGCTCTCCAGGACCTCCACTGAGAGAGAAATGGCTCTGCAGGAGTAGGAAGGACATATTCCAGTGACAGTTGTACTATTTTCATGAATTTTCAGTGATTCCTGCGGGTCCTGCAAAATCTGGAAAGGGGCAAAATTAATATGGAAGGTCATTTAAAGAACAGAGGACAAACAAATGCTGTTGGAGAAACCACTGTAATGCTGTTCATATCGGCTGTTGTTGAAGAACTGATAATATTCAAATGTGCGGTAGAGTTAAGGAATTCGGGAGGTGGCAGAGTCGTTAGCTAGGGAGAGGTGATGCCAGATCTTGGGAGAATGTGTGAAGGAGGAGTGGCCCTGGAAGGTGGGTATGGCTGTGATAACGAGGCCACTGCAGTACAAGACCGTTTCGCTCTGAGCTGAAGGACATGTCTCTGTCTGCAGGGCGCTCCAGGACAGCCAGGGGAGAGGGGGCTGGCCGGGCAGAAGGTGAGGACGCTCCAGACTTTCTTCTCGTCTTGTTTTAATTAACTGGACTGAGTAAAGTCACCGCCCTGAACTCAGAGTGACCGAGCGTGCTGTCGCTGTGCCGCAGGGAGAGGCTGGCTCTCCGGGTTCGCAGGGCCCCGCTGGAGAGCGCGGACGGCCGGGGCTGCCCGGGGGATCGGCGAAGAGCGACTCCAGCGGAATCGGGCTGATGGGGCCGGTGGGGCCCCGGGGAGAGAGAGGCAGCACAGGAGCCCCCGGTCCTGCCGGGCCACCGGGAATGCCGGGAATGCCAGGAACTGACGTAAGACGGCCACCGTGCCCAGAACGTTTTCCATTAATCCGGATGTCAGGAGAGCAGTGTGGTTGCGCACTGCACTGAGTTTGCGTGCAAATGCGAATGAAAATAAAGTTTCAGTCCTGTCTGTCTCTTTCTAGGGAGTTGTAAACTACGACGAAGTCAAGAACTTTATTCGGCAGCAAGTCATGAAGATCTTCGATGGTAATGACCCTTTAAGTTTTTTTTGTCATTTAGTCTGATGATTTTACTCAGACAGCATACAGAGACTAGGACAAGGGGAGGACAACCGCATCACCGTCGGTCATGTGACAGTGCGGCATCACCCTCGGTTCCTCTGTTCCATGTCGTTAGGATGGAATAAAGAACACTCCCTACCTTGGCTTTCCATCCCAAACTATTAGCAACCAATTGAGCTAAGCTGGCCTGATGGCCTCCAATCTTTTACTACTTTCTTTATAAGGGTTGAACAGGGATCTGTCTGGAAACAATCCCTTTACTTTGAATCACTGGACTGCCTGGCCTGCTGTTCTCTGGGGTGCATCAGCTCTGCAGCAGGCAGGGGCTTGCAAGCAGTGCAGTGTGAGAACCCCCTGACCCGCCTATCCCCTGTCCCGACAGAGCGCATGGCCTACTACATGTCCCGAGTGCAGCTCCCCGTGGAGATGGTGTCCGCCCCCGGCCGGCCAGGTCCTCCCGGAAAGGACGGGATGCCCGGAAGACAGGGGTCACCCGGAATGCCAGGTATTCCCGGACAGATCGGCCGAGAGGGACGACAAGGCCCCCAAGGACCACCAGGTGAGTCAAATGTAGCAAAGCCCTGGCCAAAGAAAGACTCTCCAGTGCAGGAGTGCAGGGCTCCTTCGTTAGTGGCAGTGCACAGTTTCTAAAATCTTTCAGCAATTTTATTAACTGTCTCAGAGGACTGTGAAGCCTGCATTTACAATAAGTCTACATACTGTAACACATAGAATTACAGGTGATTTATTTGTTAACAACTGCTGCCTGCTACTAATGATTAACTGGACATTAGTCATCTACCAGATGCGTGGTAGATGTAGAGTATATCTGTGTTACAGTATGTAAACCTGTATGTATCTACTGTATAAAGAGATATTTTGCATCCCCTAAGCCCAGATGTTTCCAGCTGTGCTGTGTTTCCACAGGTGTTCCAGGGAATAAGGGTGAGAAAGGAGATAAAGGAGTTGGGGAGATGGGAGACATTGGACCTCCTGGGGCTCCAGGTGAGATATCGTACAAGCGATCAGCCTCTCCTCTCTCACCGTCTTCCTCCTCACTTTTCCATTCAACCCTCATGCCCCCTCTGCCCCTCCCTTCCAGGTGTCCAAGGTCCTCCAGGTTATGGGAAGATGGGTCCCCCAGGTCCTGTGGGTCAGCAAGGGATCCCCGGGGTGCCAGGTTCCCCAGGAACGCCCGGCTCTCCCGGGAAACAGGGACGCTGCAATCCGTCCGACTGCATGGGCATGATGCCCGTGGAGCAGTACCAGCCCAAGAGCATGAAGGGACCTTTCCGCTAAGAGAGCAGAGAGTGCACGGGCCACGCCCCATTGGGCTTTTTGAAAAACTCTTTTCTCTTTTCTTTTTTTTTTTGTTTGTAAGAAATAAAGGTTCCTGGAGGATCTTTTGAAACACACGCACGCAGGAAAAAATCAATTTCCAGCTCCAACCCCACCACCACCACAATCCCTGCCACCACCGGTTCCACATCATCCCACATCTGGACCCTCTCCCCTGCAGGTGGACAGCTGGACCGCTGGCAGGGTCAGGCAGTGGTCAATATTTACCCAGCAGAGGGTGAGGAAGCTCTCTCAGCTCTGCCTCTCGAAGGCCTCTTCCCCATCTTGTACAGCATTTTTTTTTGAAAGCAGGAGCAAAATCTGTATATCGTCGGAAATACTTGTTTGATCGTCTCCTGGTGTTTGTACCGCCCCCGAGCTCACCGATGAGTTTCACCCGTGTGTTCCAGTGGTGGAACTAGAGGACATGTTGGGCTCAGCTATCAGTCTGCAGTACAACACTGAATGAATTATAACAGCAGTAATATCAGAACTAATACTTTTCAAAAATGTTTAATCACCTAGTAGAACCTCATGGTTTCGTTTGCGATTCACGTTTTTGCTGAGATGAGGAAAAACCTCTTGTGCAACAGCGCCTGAGCTTGCTGATGCTGTGATGAACCTCCCCTCCTTTTCAAGTTCAAGTGGACCGTGGAGACTCTTTCAAAGCCCAGAGGCTTACCAGGGTGGTTTTAATCAGGCATTTGGTCCCATATAATCTGCTTCCTTTACAATGGTGCTGTGTTTTCCTCCTCCGTTGTTTTAAACCACTAATACCTTCATGGTTACAAAGGGAAGCTTGGAGCCCCACAGTGCTGTCTCACCTTGATGACATCATACCTGATGCACAGAGGCAGAAGTGCGTTTCATCTTTGGAGAAAGAGGCACGGCTGTGTCGCCAAGCACTTCTGTGTGCCAAAAGGCCTTGATCTGGAGCTTGATGATACTGGTCTTCTGTGGCAGTGCCCTGGTGAACTCGAGGATACCAGTCCAGTTGCGGGAAAGTGTGCTGTATATATTAGTATTTCTGTTGCTGAGCTGTTTCATGAACATTCTGACAAGTCAGCAGCCCGTTGCGAGTTCTTCATTGGGTCCGTGCATGTTTAAATTCCCTGATCGAGAAACAGCTCTGCCTTCATAAGCTATTGGGTTTCAGGTATCAGGTGGAGGAAGTGTCTGAGCAAGTGAGAGGGGCAAACAGTAAACTTACAGCTTTTTACATTTTTCTATCCTATGCTGTCGCATATGCCTTTACAATTCTAGCAATTGGCAAACCTGGAAAAATTAGTATGTAATTCTATAATAATATAAAAAAGTTTCTGTTTTTTTGTGCGCACATCGTATTCTTTATAAAAGAAACATAATCTTTTTTTGATTTCAGTTCCTGGAATTTTTTCCTAAGCTCTTTAAACACTGCTTCTTGTACTATACCCATTGGCTACAATACAACACAACCAGTCTCACTGCCTTCCCTGGGTTTTAGAGCTAAAACAAACCATCGAGCTTGTTGCTGTGCAGCACGGTGTCTATTCCACCCCTCCAGCCCCGTCTTCACCGCCTCCACGAGTCACTGAGCAACAAGCGAGTTCTCCTGTAAAAGCCATCAGTCTTGAGATATTTTTTATGGAAACAAATAAATTTTTTAAGCAAACTTTGAATTTTGTGTCCAGAGAACATTTTCTTGGCCCGTTTCACAGCAGTACCGTTGCCATGAGTGGGGTGGGTGGTGATGTATGAAGAGCTGTAACATGTAGAGCTCAGTTTCACCTGGAAAAAGAGAGGAAAAATGCAACATCTCTGCTGCAGACTCCTCCTCAGGTGTGTCCTGCAGTGTGCAGTCTTCCTCAGGTGTGTCCTGCAGTGTGCAGTCTTCCTCAGGTGTGTCCTGCAGTGTGGAGTCTTTCTCAGGTGTGTCCATCATTGAGGAGTCTTCCTCAGTTGCAGTCCTCATTGTGGAGTCTTCCTCAGGTGTGTCCATCATTGAGGGGTCTTCCTTAGGTGTGTCCTGCAGTGTGGAGTCTTCCTCAGTTGCGGTCCTCATTGTGGAGTCTTCCTCAGGTGTGTCCTGCAGTGTGGAGTCTTCCTCAGGTGTGTCCATCATTGTGGAGTCTTCCTCAGGTGGGTTCTGCACTGTGGAGTCTTCCTCGGTTGCGGTCCTCATTGTGGTCTCCATACACGTGAAGAGGCTTTACAGCAACATGATTTGGTTCTACACGGAGATGTAGAAGCACAATTGTCTCGCTCCTTCGCTGCCGGCACACAGACTACACTGACCCCTCGCAGGCTCAGTGGTCGATGAGTTGCTGGTTTGAGTTTGATCATGATTTGTCTCCCAGTCTGAAATGAACATTCAAGTTTTTGTGTTCTGTTCTTCCTCTGATGTTCTGAGACATCTGTACGTCTTTCGTTAAAGTATTTTCCAGTTGATTTAAAACCCTTTGTTGCAGGGACAGTTTCCTATAAAGCACCTCAGGGCAGGTCAGATGTGTTGTGGCTGATGAGACCAGCAGTAACTGTGAGCTCAGGTTGAGAGAAAACCAGTCCAACACACCTGTCTGAATCTAAACGCTGATGAGGTCTGTTTGTTCAAAGCGATTCCTTACAAACTTTCGGTTCAGGACAACATACTGTACCCATCTAGTCAGTTTTTTTTAAATCCTGTTTTCATTCAGTAGGTGCTGCATCTGTCTGCTGGTTGTTCTGGGTCATTTGCCGACAGGAAAAGAAAAAAAAAACAAATACAACCTCCTGCAATTTGACTTTAGAGACAGAACCTCGGGCCAGTCTGAGAAGAGCCTGCGCCGATTGTCAAGCCACTGCACACACTAACCAATCCCAGCAAACTCACCCTCTCTCTGTCCGCTAACCTCTACAGAGCCCATGTGGCTCTGAAATAATTTGCCAACAATCCCTTGGGGAGCAGCAGGCGCTGTGGCTGTGGTTTCCCGTTGTGAAACCCTGCTGAGAGCTGTCAGTAATGGCCTCCAACGCGCTCTGAGCACCGCGACAGGAAGAGGTGTGGAAGCAAGTCCTTCTGGAACCAGAAGCCTCTTCTCTAATTCGCACAGGATACAGCAGAACATTGACTTTTACAAAACGTTCCTCTTTATTGATGGGTCGTGCTGAAACAATGAAAAACCTAAGTCTTTACAGTGGAACACATCATCATACACAATAAATAAATTCTGTTAATGAAGCTAATCAGTTTTTTTTTTGTTTCTTTTTATTCTTTCAATCACACATGTTCCTGTGCACTGCAGATTCAGCTTTAGACAATGACTCGGCATTCTTCACACGCTTCATTTTAAAATTTGTTAAATTTGAGCATCCTGTGAGATTTTGTTAAGAAAAAGCATGCTGATTAAGTTCATTAACACTGGGTTCTTGTTTATTTTTTTTTGCATTGAAAACCCCATATTAATATAAAATTAACACATTTACAAAGATTTACAGCACTGAGTTGTGGCAACGCTGACTGGACAGAGAGGTGATGTTGTCAAGTGGCCTGAAGAAGCAGAAAGGTGATTTTTTTTTGTAATCAGACGACAATTCAAAAGGGGCCTTGCATCGTACACACACAGCGCTGAGAAGTCAGTACAGAGAGGAAGACAGGAGTGTGAGGTCATGAACACTGAAATCTGACAGAAGTCTTCAGATTTCCTTCTCTAGGTTTTTATTTAATTGGTTAATTTCCGTCGATGTTGAATACACTCCCAGAGGGCGCTGGGCAGGGCGGGTGTCTGTGTCTCTGTCACTGGGAGGTGGTCTCCTGAGCTCCCTCAGGCCGTGGGGGGGGTCTCTCCAGTTGTTTCCTGTGGCGGGAGGGGCAGTGGGGGCGCCACGCTCACTGGGACGGGCCCTTGACCGCGCCGGCCTCCGACAGCCGCGCGGACGTGTACGCGGAGGCCGCCAGGCACGCCGCCGCCTCGCAGAAGCCCGGGAGACCCTGTGGCCCCGGGGGGCCGGGGCGTCCCCCCTCCCCCAGCGTGCCCTGGGGGCCCGGCTCACCCGCTTTCCCGTCCCGGCCGAAGCCGTCGATCCCGGGGGGGCCTGCACGGGAGGAGAGGAGAGTGTGAGGGAACCCCGAAGCAAGCAGTCCCCCCACGGACACGGTCACACTGACCGCAGCCCGGAGTGACCACACAACAGGCCGAGGGACGGCGAGCCCCCGCCTTCTGAAAGTTACTTCAGGTGACCCAGGACAGCGAGTCTCAACACCCCGACCCTCAGAACCACTGGGCCGAACACGAAGTATGTTCTAACCAGAGCCATCGGACTGGTTAAGCTCACGCTCGCGGGCTGCGGCTCGGCTCTCACCTGGGATTCCTGGCGGCCCGGGCGGGCCTGGGTGGGGCCGGCCGGGATCCCCTCGCTCGCCTTTCAGACCCTTCTTGCCTGTCAGGGGGAGAGAAAGAGGGGGTGAGGGAGGGGTAGCGACCCGCGGAGGCTGCTGCAGGCCACAGCTCGTAAGCGTCCGATCGCGGGATCTGAGCGAGACTTCTTCCTGCCGCTGGCGGGCAGGGGCACTGTGGGACACAGGCCTGGGGCCTGCCTTTCGAACGTGCAGCGGGGCCTGTCTTACATCCTGTGGCCCCGAGCGCTGCTGGGAAACTGGAGTCGCAGTGGGCAGCCCTGGGGGAGCCTCAGGGCAGTTCTCGGGCGCTTGCCCTACCTTTGTACCCCGTGTTGCCAATCTGCCCAGGGGCGCCGATGATGCCAGGGATTCCTCTGGGCCCTGTGTGTCCGTGGGGCCCTTGTGGCCCCGGTGCTCCAGGGGGTCCTGGGGGTCCTGGGGGGCCCATGACTCCTGCCCCACCCAGAGCGGCTCTCTTCGCGCTCACCGCCACTGCTGCCAGCCGCTCTGTGAACACACAGGCAGTCGGGGTCAGTCGGGGCCAGTCGGAGGCAGTCTGAGGCAGTCGGAGGCAGTTGAGGTCAGCCAGCCAGGTGGCCTGAGTCACCCATCACCTGTAACTTCAAATACGCCCAACTACTTTCAGACAAGTGGGGGGCACACTATTAATCAGTCCAGTAAGGTAATTATAGCCCCAAAGGAGTGGAGTTGGCAGACCTACGCTATCCACAATTAGACGTAGCTAACATTTCCAGAGCAAAAATGATGCAGGTCACTGCCCTTTCAGAAACTCTAAGATGCTGGCTGAGGCCTGGGTGGCGTGATCCAGACCCCCCAGGTCTCAGGGTGGTGCTGGGGGAGAGCTGGGGTTGGTCCGTCTCTCTCAGCTCCAGGGCAGAGACCTGTGAGTGACCAGGTGTCACCGAGAGACACACTGCTGCTCCAGCCAGCCGGCACAGACTCTCCAGACGCGCCAGAGAAACTTCTCAATCATACCATTCCCCCCGGAGCAGGGGCAGGACTATTCCGGAACACGGGAAAGAGCGAAGGATTTATTTGTTGTCGTTCTCACCTTGCAGCATCTTGAGCACCACTTCAATGATGTGCTGGTCAGAGGCATCTCTGCCCTGGTGGGGGGGGAGAGGAGAGACAGGGCTGGTCAGTGTCTGTGCCCAGCGCAGGGGAGACCACCAGTGCGCAGGCGTGCAGAAGAGGGCAGAGCTGCTGGTGCAGTACGTTCTCTTCTCAAGCCTCGCTGCCCATCTCCTTTTACAGAAGGCACTTGCTAGGGAGAAGTTCCCGCTGCAGAGCTCCTACATTCTCACTACAGAAACACACTCCTGCTCATGAGGCGCTGGTTTTAATGGGGTTCTGTGCTCTAGCGGCTCAGACAGCACCCCGCGGAGTTGTGTGGCACTCACAGCCGCGCCGGGTCGGCCAGGCATTCCCGGCACCCCTCTCTCGCCGTGGAGCCCCCTGGGGCCGGACAGTCCTTGGGGGCCCTGCTCACCCGGCTTCCCGGGGTCACCCGTCGGCCCGTTGTTCCCGGGATCTCCCCGGACGCCTTGCTGTGGGAAGAGACAGGAAGGCAGGAGTCAGCGAACTTCCACTCCGGCCCGTTTTCACAGTGAGTCTGCGAGCTCACGCTGCCTGCCGCCGCGAGAGAGAGGCCAAGGAGATCCGCAGGCCCGACTCCCCCGAGCGCTCCCGGGACCAGGAGCCCTCAGCCCCGTCCCTCAAGCACAGCGTCCGGAGAGGGTCAGCACGACCGGAGCGGGAACGTGACCACTGGGGCTTTTCAAATGGAGCTTCTCGCCAATAAGAGGTCTCGTCTGCTGGAAAGCAAGTCAAGTGCAGTTCAGGCGATTTGACATGTGTGGGTCCCTCAGCGCAGGACAAACTGGGGTCTTGCCTTGCTGGACAGACAGTGGTGTTGTCTAAGGTCAGGGGTCACTGATTCCCTGCTCCAAGAGGAAGGAAAGGGGATGTACTCACCTGGCCTTTAGGTCCTGGCTCTCCAGACAGCCCCTGTGGGCAGAGAAGACAGGTTTGTTAACGACCGTGATCCCCGAGGTGAAAGAGGACAGGGCCAGAAGTTGTCTGTGAAAAAATCGTCTCACCTTCTCCCCCTTCTCTCCGGCCAGACCCTCCACACCAGGGTCCCCCTGTAAGAGAGACGCCCACAGTCAGACGGGCACAGAGCAGAGCTGCACCGGAAGGCAAAAACTGGGGTCCACTGCAGTGACTAGGACTGGAACTGTGTGTTTTTAAAAGAATTCTTTCTGTAGCTAGACTGCTGTTGTCTGAGTCTGACAATCACAACCGCAGGACAGTGTGGATACTGGTGTGACTGGTGTGAGTCTGACAATCACAA